CACACAGACACACACACACACACACACACACACCAGACACACACACACACACACACACACAGACACACACACAGACACACACACAGACACAGAGACACACAGACACACAGACACACACACACACACACAGACACAGACACAGACACACACACACACACAGACACACACACAGACACACACACACACACAGACACACACACACACACACACAGACACAGACACACACAGACACAGACACACACACACACACACACACAGACACAGACACAGACACACACACACACACAGACACACACACAGACACACACACAGACACAGAGACACACAGACACACAGACACACACACACACAGACACACACACACAAACACACAGACACACACACACACACACACAGAGAAAACACACACACACACACACACACACACACACACAGACACACACACACACAGACACACACAGAGAGAGAAAACACACACACACACACACACACACACACACACACACACACACACACACACACACTGTGTATTCATATCTATGCTCTCGTGCAGGAATGGCACGGAAAGAGGAGCAGCTGACTCCAGGACAGAAGCTGCTGGCCATCAGGTTCGTGTTGGGACACTTTAATAATATGAATATATGTTATCTATTTTCTTAATATAAGCCCTTTTCATAACGGTGACATTTGAGTGCTGTTAGCTTCTCCATGAAAGAAGCATTCCTGAGCTAACGGCTAACGTTAGCATTAATTCCTGAGCTAAAAGCCACTTAAGATAACATGTCATTACAATTAAAGAAAGTGTGTGTGTGTGTGTGTGTGTGTGTGTGTGTGTGTGTGTGTGTGTGTGTGTGTGTGTGTGTGTGTGTGTGTGTGTGTGTGTGTGTGTGTGTGTGTGTGTGTGTGTGTGCAGGAGGATGCCCAGTCCCCTGGAGTACTTCAGTTATAACTGTAACTTCTTGGGGATCCTGGCCGGTCCGACCTGCTCCTACAACGATTACATCGGTTTCATCGAGGGCAGGAAGTCAGAGCCCAGCGCACCGTCACCTAATGTGAGTCATTAGGTCCCAAGCATTATGAGTCCTAAACCTGACCTGAGTCAGCATTATGAGTCCTAAACCTGACCTGAGTCAGCATTATGAGTCCTAAACCTGACCTGAGTCAGCATTATGAGTCCTAAACCTGACATGAGTCAGCATTATGAGTCCTAAACCTGACATGAGTCAGCATTATGAGTCCTAAACCTGTCATGAGTCAGCATTATGAGTCCTAAACCCTGACATGAGTCAGCATTATGAGTCCTAAACCTGACATGAGTCAGCATTATGAGTCCTAAACCTGACCTGAGTCAGCATTATGAGTCCTTAACCCTGACCTGAGTCAGCATTATGAGTCCTAAACCTGACATGAGTCAGCATTATGAGTCCTAACCCCTGAGTCAGTATTATGAGTCCTAACCCCTGAGTCAGCATTATGAGTCCTAACCCCTGAGTCAGCATTATGAGTCCTAACCCCTGAGTCAGCGTTATGAGTCCTAACCCCTGAGTCAGCATTATGAGTCCTAACCCCTGAGTCAGCATTATGAGTCCTAACCCCTGAGTCAGCGTTATGAGTCCTAACCCCTGAGTCAGCATTATGAGTCCTAACCCCTGAGTCAGCGTTATGAGTCCTAACCCCTGAGTCAGTATTATGAGTCCTAACCCCTGAGTCAGCGTTATGAGTCCTAACCCCTGAGTCAGCATTATGAGTCCTAACTCCTGAGTCAGCATTATGAGTCCTAACCCCTGAGTCAGCATTATGAGTCCTAACCCCTGAGTCAGCGTTGAGTCCTAACCCCTGAGTCAGCATTATGAGTCCTAACCCCTGAGTCAGCATTATGAGTCCTAACCCCTGAGTCAGCGTTATGAGTCCTAACCCCTGAGTCAGCGTTATGAGTCCTAACCCCTGAGTCAGCGTTATGAGTCCTAACCCCTGAGTCAGCGTTACTTCCCTCTAAAGGCAGTGTGGTGTCTCCTCAGACTGAAGTGGTGAAGAAGGTCTCGACCTCTTTCTTCTGCCTCCTCGTCTTCCTGTCCGTCTGCAAAGTGTTCCCCGTGGAGCGGAACATCGACGATGACTTCCTGTCGTCCACACCGCGCTGTGCTCAGGTGATCTACCTGTACCTGTCACTGCTATTATCCAATCAGAGGACATCTATCATATACTGCACTCTTATTGTCCTCCTTTCAGGTGATCTACCTGTACCTGTCCATGCTCACCACCAGACCCAAGTACTACTTCGTGTGGACGCTCGGTGGGTTCCTGCGTCACTGATAGAGACCTGATGTCCTCCAGGTTATAAGAGTCCAGGGAGATAGTCAGATATTCTTTATTGACTGCAAACTGGGAAGTGTTTTTGTAACAGCAGCGCGTTGTCACACCCTCAGGATCAGTGTGTGACAACATCTTTAAATATGGCAAAAAGAAAGGTTAAAATGACTGAACATTTTATTTTCAAGAAAACCAAAAATATAAAAACTTTTTAAAAAACGGCAAAATAATGTTTTCATTTCTTGAAATATGGCAACAAAACATTGAGTGGAAATACAGCAACAAACGTGTTTCAGAGGAACCACATTTTACAAAAAATCATGGAATAAAACCAACATAAAAATAAGGTAAAAAAAATCTGGCATAATTCTTGAAATTTAGAAAAAACATTTAATAAAGAATGTTGAATTGAAGACCCTATAATTTTTTTTAAAGAAAATCAAATATATTTTTTAATAAACTTAGAAAAAAAAATAATGTTTTAATTTGTCTGTTTCATCTTCTCTTTTACTCTCAGCTGATGCGATCAATAACGCCGCTGGTTTTGGTTTTAACGGCTATGGCAGCGACGGCTCGGCTCGATGGGACCGGATCTCGAACCTGCGGATCCTGAACATCGAGGTCTGGACCTGATTCAGATTTTAAATGTTGTTTCTGTTGCTGCTGTAACGTTTCCTCCGGCTCAGATCCTCTCTGTTTCGTTGCAGTTCGCCACAAGCTTCAAAGACTTCCTCGACAACTGGAACATCCAGACGGCTCATTGGCTCAAAAGGTCTGCACACATCCAACATCACACCCAACATCACACCCAACATCACATCCAACATCACACCCATCATCACATCCAACATCACACCCAATATCACATCCAACATCACACCCATCATCACACCCAACATCACACCCATCATCACATCCAACATCACAGCCAACATCACACCCAACATCACACCCAACATCACACCCATCATCACACCCAACATCACATCCAACATCACATCCAACATCACACCCAACATCACATCCAACATCACATCCAACATCACACCCAATATCACATCCAACATCACACCCATCATCACACCCAACATCACACCCATCATCACATCCAACATCACAGCCAACATCACACCCAACATCACACCCATCATCACACCCAACATCACATCCAACATCACATCCAACATCACATCCATCATCACACCCAACATCACACCCAACATCACACCCAACACCCAACATCACACCCAACATCACATCCAACATCACACCCAACATCACACCCAACACCCAACATCACACCCAACATCACATCCAACATCACAGCCAACATCACACCCAACATCACACCCATCATCACACCCAACATCACATCCAACATCACACCCAACATCACACCCATCATCACACCCAACATCACACCCAACATCACACCCATCATCACACCCAACATCACACCCAACATCACACCCATCATCACATCCAACATCATCATGTTGCCGTTGTTCAGCATGGAAACATTAATTAGCTAACAATTACATTATTGTTCTATTAATATAAAGGGAGGTCGGGTACTCTTTAAAACAGCTGCTAGTTATGGGTACTTTTTACTGAAGTACATTTCAAAGCCTCTTTTTAATTTAATTTAATTTCAAACCTTTATTTATCCAGGTTGTATCCCATTGAGATCATTGATCTCTTTTTCAAGGGAGACCTGCTCAAGTAGGTTCCACATGAATACATTAAACAACAGAACAACAAAAGGACATCATACAGCATCATTACAGGGGTTACAGTTTACATACTATCCACATGCACAGGTACCAACAGCTTCCGATTCAGTAGCATCCAACCGAGCTTTAAAAACATTTAGTGGCACCAGATTGCTCAGTTTCCATTTCAATTGCAGACTATTCCAGGACAGAGGAGCTGCGCATCTAAATGCTATCTTCCCTAAGACAGTCCTAGCAGTTGGCACATTTAATAAAACCACAGCATGCGATCTCAGGCAGTAGCCACTTACAATTCGCCGTGAGATCAGGGAGCAGATGTAGGATGGAAGTTTCCCTAACATGGCTTTGTATATGAAAATGTACCAGTGACTGAGCCTCCGTACAGTTAGTGAAGGCAGACCAGCCCTTGCATACAGGGTACAGTGATGGGTTAATGCTTTACAGTTTGTCACAAATCTCAGTGCACTGTGATACGCAGCATCTAACTTGACCAGGCAATTGGCAGGTGCATTCATATACATCAGATCACCATAGTCCAGCACAGGTAAAAAGGTCACAGAGCCTTTTCCTGGCCTCGAGCGAGAAACAGGACTTGTTCCTGTAGAAGAAACCTAGTCTAACCCTCAGTTTTTTAAGCAGGTTATTGACATGACATTTAAAAGTGAGACAATCATCAAGCCAGATACCAAGGTATTTGTAACAGGCAACCACTTCAAGTTTTATTCCTTGCGTAGTTAAAATATCTAAAACAGGCTCTGGTGTCTTTTTAGCTTTTGAAAAGAGCATTACCTTGGTTTTATCAACATTTAAAAGAAGCTTTAGTTCAGAGAGCTGAGTCTGAATAATGTTAAAAACAGCCTGTAATTTAACGCCAGCCTCCTTAATGGAGGGACGTGCACAGTACATCACGGTGTCATCAGCATAGAAATGTAAAGTAGCTTCATCCACATTTTCACCTAAACTATTGATGTAGATGGAGAATAAAAGTGGACCTAAAACAGAACCTTGAGGAACACCATTAGTAATGTTTAACCACTCAGAAGACAGCCCATCAAAGTGAACACATTGGGACCTTTCAGAGAGTCACAAACCACCCCACTGCATGGCTGGATAAGCCAATACTGAGTAGCCTCTGCTTTAAGATGCGATGATCGACGGTATCAAACGCTTTGGACAGGTCAATAAATAGAGCTGCACAGCTCTGCTTATTATCTAAGATACTCTTAATGTCATTCACCACTTTCATTGTGGCAGTGATGGTGCTATGTTGCTTTCTGAAGCCTGACTGATGTTTAGACAGGATGTCATTGTTACATAAAAACTCCTTTACCTGCTCACTCACTAGGCGTTCAAGAACCTTAGCCAGAACTGACCATTTAGAGATGGGCCTATAGTTATTTAAAATAGTTGCCTCCCCTCCTTTCAGCAAAGGCAGGACATACGCTGACTTCCATACTTTAGGAATTGTGTTTGTGCTGAGGGAGAGGTTAAAAAGAGTAGTGAGAGGTGGAGCAATAAAATCTGCAGCTATCTTTAAAAAGAAAGGTTCCACGTTGTCCGGGCCGGCCGGTTTCTTAGGATCTAACTTGGTTAAAGCTTCATGAACAACATTTACAGTAAAAGGAGTAAAACTGAAAGGGTTTTCCAGAGCACATTGTTCAGAGTCACCGACTGTGGTGTTCACAGAAGCAGAGTTAGTCACAGAATCAAACAGAGAGCCACAGGACACAAAATGCTCATTAAAGCAATTTAACATGGTGGCCCTGTCCGATATAGAGCGATATTTACTTGAGTAAAGAAGTTTAGTCAGTACTTCTACTTCTCATTTCAAACCTTTATTTAACCAGATTGGTCCCATTGAGATCATAGATCTCTTTTTCAAGGGAGACCTGCAGCAAATAGGTTCCACATGAAACATTAAACAATAAAGGACATCATACATTATATTTACAGGATACATTTACATAGTTATAGACATTTACAAGTACCCATAGTATCAACGAGCATTTCATTTAGCCTAGCTTTAAAAACATGCAGAGGAATGAGATTGCTCAGTTTCAATTCTTGCTGTAGATTGTTCCAAGCAAGTGGAGCTGCACATAAGAGCTGTCTCACCTAAGACAGTCCTTGCTCTTGGCACATCTAACAAGACTACATCATGCGATCTCAGACAATAGCTGCTCTCTCTGTGTTATCAGAGAGCAGCTAGAATACGGGAGTTTACCCAACAAAGCTTTATAAATAAACGTGTACCAGTGACTGAGCCTCCGTACAGTAAGTGATGGCAGACCTGCCTTGGCATACAGGTACAGTGATGAGTAAGTGCTTTACAGTTTGAGTTAAGAAGTTTAGTCAGTACTTCTACTTTCACCAGAGTATTTTTAAACACGAGTATCTGTACTTCTACTTGAGTACAGGATGTGTGTACTCTGACTACTTGATTGTGCAGCACAGCTGTTTTAATAGCATTTTTACAACCAAAAGGCCCATGCATGCCTAACATGAAGTGTTGTGTCTGCTGGTCCAGGGTCTGCTATGAGCGCTGTCCCTACTACCCGACGGCCGCCACCTTCATCCTGTCGGCCATGTGGCACGGAGCGTATCCCGGGTACTACCTCACCTTCCTCACCGGCATCTTCATCACGCTGGCAGGCAGGGCGGTGAGCACCAAGCATGCTTTATAACCTCATGTGTATTAAAGGTCTCCTATTGTACTATTTATAAGTCTCAGATATATAGCAGCATACTTTACAGCCTCATGTGGTTTCATACCGGACATAAAGGCGTGCATATAAGCTGTGTGTGTGTGTGTGTGTGTGTGTGTGTGTGTGTGTGTGTGTGTGTGTGTGTGTGTGTGTGTGTGTGTGTGTGTGTGTGTGTGTGTGTGTGTGTGTGTGTGTGTGTGTGTGTGTGTGTGTGTGTGTGTGTGTGTGTGTGTGTGTGTGTGTGTGTGTGTTTGCGTGGGGAGTGTTGCAGTAGAACATTCCACTGTAGCGCCCGGTACATTAATGGGAGACCCTACATGTTTGAGCACCCTCTATGAAACGTCAAGCTACCCCACAGCACCCCCTAGAGAAATCTCTGGCGCCGCCACTGAGCCTGCGACCCCGTTCTGAAGAACTGTGCAGAGCAGGCTCATTGCAGCCACTAATGAGAAGACACACTTCAAATATCAGCATTTTCTTTCTTTTCATTTGTTGCACAGATTGCAAAGCGGCAAAGTATTATAACTTATTGTTCTAGCAAAGGGATTGCACAATTGTGTTATGTATGTATTTGTTTGAGCACACTGACTTATGGAGCATTGTTTTATTATCACTGTTCTAGCAAAGGAATGCTCACGTTCATATTGATGTATTTTAATAAATGTTAACTATTTGTGTTGGGGGGCCCGACTTTTTGTTTTCTCCAAAGGGGGGCCCGACTTTTTGTTTTCTCCAAAGGGGGGCCGACTTTTTGTTTTCTCAAAGGGGGGCCTGACTTTTTGTTTTCTCCAAAGGGGGGCCGACTTTTTGTTTTCTCAAAGGGGGGCCTGACTTTTTGTTTTCTCCAAAGGGGGGCCGACTTTTTGTTTTCTCAAAGGGGGGCCTGACTTTTTGTTTTCTCCAAAGGGGGGCCTGACTTTTTGTTTTCTCCAAAGGGGGCCCGACTTTTTGTTTTCTCAAAGGGGGGCCTGACTTTTTGTTTTCTCAAAGGGGGGCCCGACTTTTTGTTTTCTCCAAAGGGGGGCCCGACTTTTTGTTTTCTCAAAGGGGGGCCGACTTTTTGTTTTCTCCAAAGGGGGGCCTGACTTTTTGTTTTCTCAAAGGGGGGCCGACTTTTTGTTTTCTCAAAGGGGGGCCGACTTTTTGTTTTCTCAAAGGGGGCCCGACTTTTTGTTTTCTCCAAAGGGGGGCCGACTTTTTGTTTTCTCAAAGGGGGGGCCTGACTTTTTGTTTTCTCCAAAGGGGGGCCTGACTTTTTGTTTTCTCAAAGGGGGGGCCCGACTTTTTGTTTTCTCCAAAGGGGGGCCGACTTTTTGTTTTCTCAAAGGGGGGGCCTGACTTTTTGTTTTCTCCAAAGGGGGGCCTGACTTTTTGTTTTCTCAAAGGGGGGCCTGACTTTTTGTTTTCTCCAAAGGGGGGGCCGACTTTTTGTTTTCTCCAAAGGGGGGCCGACTTTTTGTTTTCTCCAAAGGGGGGGCCTGACTTTTTGTTTTCTCCAAAGGGGGGCCGACTTTTTGTTTTCTCCAAAGGGGGGGCCTGACTTTTTGTTTTCTCCAAAGGGGGGCCTGACTTTTTGTTTTCTCCAAAGGGGGGGCCGACTTTTTGTTTTCTCCAAAGGGGGGCCGACTTTTTGTTTTCTCCAAAGGGGGGGCCTGACTTTTTGTTTTCTCAAAGGGGGGCCGACTTTTTGTTTTCTCCAAAGGGGGGCCTGACTTTTTGTTTTCTCCAAAGGGGGGGCCGACTTTTTGTTTTCTCCAAAGGGGGGCCTGACTTTTTGTTTTCTCCAAAGGGGGGGCCTGACTTTTTGTTTTCTCCAAAGGGGGGGCCGACTTTTTGTTTTCTCCAAAGGGGGGCCGACTTTTTGTTTTCTCCAAAGGGGGGCCTGACTTTTTGTTTTCTCCAAAGGGGGGCCTGACTTTTTGTTTTCTCCAAAGGGGGGCCGACTTTTTGTTTTCTCAAAGGGGGGCCCGACTTTTTGTTTTCTCAAAGGGGGGCCGACTTTTTGTTTTCTCCAAAGGGGGGCCTGACTTTTTGTTTTCTCCAAAGGGGGGGCCGACTTTTTGTTTTCTCCAAAGGGGGGCCGACTTTTTGTTTTCTCCAAAGGGGGGGCCGGACTTTTGTTTTCTCAAAGGGGGGCCGACTTTTTGTTTTCTCCAAAGGGGGGCCTGACTTTTGTTTTCTCCAAAGGGGGGCCGACTTTTTGTTTTCTCCAAAGGGGGGGCCTGACTTTTTGTTTTCTCAAAGGGGGGCCGACTTTTTGTTTTCTCAAAGGGGGGCCCGACTTTTTGTTTTCTCCAAAGGGGGGGCCTGACTTTTTGTTTTCTCCAAAGGGGGCCCGACTTTTTGTTTTCTCAAAGGGGGGCCGACTTTTTGTTTTCTCCAAAGGGGGGCCTGACTTTTTGTTTTCTCAAAGGGGGGGCCTGACTTTTTGTTTTCTCAAAGGGGGGCCGACTTTTTGTTTTCTCAAAGGGGGGCCGACTTTTTGTTTTCTCCAAAGGGGGGCCTGACTTTTTGTTTTCTCCAAAGGGGGGCCTGACTTTTTGTTTTCTCAAAGGGGGGGCCTGACTTTTTGTTTTCTCCAAAGGGGGGCCGACTTTTTGTTTTCTCAAAGGGGGGGCCTGACTTTTTGTTTTCTCCAAAGGGGGGCCTGACTTTTTGTTTTCTCCAAAGGGGGGCCTGACTTTTTGTTTTCTCAAAGGGGGGCCTGACTTTTTGTTTTCTCAAAGGGGGGGGCCTGACTTTTTGTTTTCTCAAAGAGGGGCCGACTTTTTGTTTTCTCAAAGGGGGGGCCTGACTTTTTGTTTTCTCCAAAGGGGGGCCCGACTTTTTGTTTTCTCCAAAGGGGGGCCGACTTTTTGTTTTCTCAAAGGGGGGGCCTGACTTTTTGTTTTCTCAAAGGGGGGGCCTGACTTTTTGTTTTCTCAAAGAGGGGCCGACTTTTTGTTTTCTCAAAGGGGGGGCCTGACTTTTTGTTTTCTCCAAAGGGGGGCCCGACTTTTTGTTTTCTCCAAAGGGGGGCCGACTTTTTGTTTTCTCCAAAGGGGGGCCGACTTTTTGTTTTCTCCAAAGGGGGGCCTGACTTTTTGTTTTCTCCAAAGGGGGGCCTGACTTTTTGTTTTCTCCAAAGGGGGGCCTGACTTTTTGTTTTCTCCAAAGGGGGGCCTGACTTTTTGTTTTCTCAAAGGGGGGGCCTGACTTTTTGTTTTCTCAAAGGGGGGGCCTGACTTTTTGTTTTCTCAAAGAGGGGGCCTGACTTTTTGTTTTCTCCAAAGGGGGGCCTGACTTTTTGTTTTCTCCAAAGGGGGGCCTGACTTTTTGTTTTCTCAAAGGGGGGGCCTGACTTTTTGTTTTCTCAAAGGGGGGGCCGACTTTTTGTTTTCTCCAAAGGGGGGCCTGACTTTTTGTTTTCTCCAAAGGGGGGCCCGACAGAAAAAGTTTGAGAACCACTGGTGTAGGGTGACCAGGTGTCCCGCTTTGTGCGGGACTGCACACACAGCATTTTTATCATTTGTCCCGTGTCCCACAAATTGAGACTATGTCCCGCATTTGAGTGACAGTCGCGCAGAAAGGCCGGCTCAGTTCTCTGACGGCCGGTACCGCCCATTATTATTATATTTTTTAAACGGCTTCATGTAAGTTGCGCTGACAGGCGACAGAGGTCCACAGAGGTCCACAGAGGTCCACAGAGGTCCACAGAGGTCCACAGTTTACCCCCCCCCCCCGTTGACAGTTCACGAGCGCGTCCATAGTGTCTCTCCCCCCCCCCGCCCCGTCCACCCAGTAAAAAAATCCCCACTACACCACTGAGTATATCTACAGTATAAGTACAGTATAAGTACAGTATATCTACAGTATAAGTACAGTATATCTACAGTATAAGTACAGTATATCTACAATATAAGTACATCCCACTTACTGTTTTCTTCCCTCAGGTGCGACACAACGTGCGGCCGCTCTTCCTGCGCTCCCAGACCCTGAAGCGAGTTTACGACGTGATGACGTGGGCGGCCACTCAGATCTGCATCTGCTACATGGTGGTGCCCTTTGTCCTGCTGTCAGTCGGACCCTCACTCAAGTTCTACCGGTCAGTCAACAACAACAAGCTACTGCAAGGCTAACATTAAGCACATGTCTCTTCTTCATCAACATGTGTCCCCTCTTCTTCATGGCTCTTCTTCATCAACATGTGTCCCCTCTTCTTCATGTCTCTTCTACATCAACATGTGTCCCCTCTTCTTCATGTCTCTTCTTCATCAACATGTGTCCCCTCTTCTTCATGTCTCTTCTACATCAACATGTGTCCCCTCTTCTTCATGTCTCTTCTTCATCAACATGTGTCCCCTCTTCTTCATGTCTCTTCTACATCAACATGTGTCCCCTCTTCTTCATGTCTCTTCTACATCAACATGTGTCCCCTCTTCTTCATGTCTCTTCTACATCAACATGTGTCCCCTCTTCTTCATGTCTCTTCTACATCAACATGTGTCCCCTCTTCTTCATCAACATGTGTCCCCTCTTCTTCATGTCTCTTCTACATCAACATGTGTCCCCTCTTCTTCATGTCTCTTCTACATCAACATGTGTCCCCTCTTCTTCATGTCTCTTCTTCATCAACATGTGTCCCCTCTTCTTCATGTCTCTTCTACATCAACATGTGTCCCCTCTTCTTCATGTCTCTTCTTCATCAACATGTGTCCCCTCTTCTTCATGTCTCTTCTACATCAACATGTGTCCCCTCTTCTTCATGTCTCTTCTTCATCAACATGTGTCCCCTCTTCTTCATGTCTCTTCTACATCAACATGTGTCCCCTCTTCTTCATGTCTCTTCTACATCAACATGTGTCCCCTCTTCTTCATGTCTCTTCTACATCAACATGTGTCCCCTCTTCTTCATCAACATGTGTCCCCTCTTCTTCATGTCTCTTCTACATCAACATGTGTCCCCTCTTCTTCATGTCTCTTCTACATCAACATGTGTCCCCTCTTCTTCATGTCTCTTCTACATCAACATGTGTCCCCTCTTCTTCATGTCTCTTCTTCATCAACATGTGTCCCCTCTTCTTCATGTCTCTTCTACATCAACATGTGTCCCCTCTTCTTCATGTCTCTTCTACATCAACATGTGTCCCCTCTTCTTCATGTCTCTTCTTCATCAACATGTGTCCCCTCTTCTTCATGTCTCTTCTACATCAACATGTGTCCCCTCTTCTTCATGTCTCTTCTACATCAACATGTGTCCCCTCTTCTTCATGTCTCTTCTTCATCAACATGTGTCCCCTCTTCTTCATGTCTCTTCTTCATCAACATGTGTCCCCTCTTCTTCATGTCTCTTCTACATCAACATGTGTCCCCTCTTCTTCATGTCTCTTCTACATCAACATGTGTCCCCTCTTCTTCATGTCTCTTCTTCATCAACATGTGTCCCCTCTTCTTCATGTCTCTTCTACATCAACATGTGTCCCCTCTTCTTCATGTCTCTTCTACATCAACATGTGTCCCCTCTTCTTCACGTCTCTTCTACATCAACATGTGTCCCCTCTTCTTCACGTCTCTTCTACATCAACATGTGTCCCCTCTTCTTCATGTCTCTTCTTCATCAACATGTGTCCCCTCTTCTTCATGTCTCTTCTACATCAACATGTGTCCCCTCTTCTTCATGTCTCTTCTACATCAACATGTGTCCCCTCTTCTTCATGTCTCTTCTTCATCAACATGTGTCCCCTCTTCTTCATGTCTCTTCTTCATCAACATGTGTCCCCTCTTCTTCATGTCTCTTCTTCATCAACATGTGTCCCCTCTTCTTCATGTCTCTTCTTCATCAACATGTGTCCCCTCTTCTTCATGTCTCTTCTTCATCAACATGTGTCCCCTCTTCTTCATGTCTCTTCTACATCAACATGTGTCCCCTCTTCTTCATGTCTCTTCTACATCAACATGTGTCCCCTCTTCTTCATGTCTCTTCTTCATCAACATGTGTCCCCTCTTCTTCATGTCTCTTCTACATCAACATGTGTCCCCTCTTCTTCATGTCTCTTCTACATCAACATGTGTCCCCTCTTCTTCATGTCTCTTCTTCATCAACATGTGTCCCCTCTTCTTCATGTCTCTTCTACATCAACATGTGTCCCCTCTTCTTCATGTCTCTTCTTCATCAACATGTGTCCCCTCTGTGTAGAGAGACTCTGAAAGTTTCAGGAACAAAGATTCTCTCTCTTTTTGATCCATTTCTATAAAAACCTGTCTGAAAATGAGCTGATCAGATTTTGGCCATTTGATGATGTCATAACGATGTTTTGTCTTGTGTAACCATTAGCCAATCAGCAACCAAGGTAACCCCCCCCCCCCCTTATCACCTGAATCTCCTCCTAGAGCACCATTGAGTTCTTTGTAACCAAATCTCTCTCAGAGGGGCGTGGGGAGGGGCTCCTTATTTTCATCTGAAGTAACAGACAGAGAATCAGCACTTTGGAAACAGGGCTGAAACAGAGGGGATTATGGGTAATGCTGCAATGATCTGTTTGGTGTTTCAGCCAATCAGAGACAGGCTCTGGATATATCTGAGACCTGTGATATATTGATGAAGAAGAAGATGATAGGGGACCTTTAACACTAAACACCACTGCTTATGTTCCACCTCCTGCTGCAGGTCCTGGTACTTCGGGCTCCATGTGGTCTGCATCCTGCTGGCCGTGGCTCTGCCCGTCAAACCCAGACACCTCCGCCTCAAAGAGCAGCGCCACCTGCAGGCCACTCACAGAAACTGCATCCAGAGGGAGAAGACCACATGAGGGACAGTCAGCGTTTCACTTCCATAAACTTGTACAGAGAGACGAGGACCATGCCTTCCTGCTGTCGCTGCTACAGGAGCACGAGGGGCGGGACAGGGAGTTCAACACTCTATAAGATGGGGGCGTGATGAAGTGTTACTGTTTACAGAAAGACTAGAGAGAGAAGGACCGCCGGGAGAGACCTCTTTCTGGGTCAGAGAATCTGCAAAGATGGAGAATATATATATAGATATACGTATCTATATATATATTCAGTTTCTTCATTTGGAGCAGCTGGATGTTCTTCCCATCAGAAAGCAGCTGACTGTCCATCTGCAGGGATGACTGATCAGGAGGAAAGGATGAACATGGAAACGACATGTAAATAAAACGTGTTGAAGACCAGAGCATTGAACAGATGCTCTCAGATGTCGTATTGTTCTCTATTAAACCATCTCAGTGTCGTCAGTCTGGAGAAAGTGCCAATGTGCCAACGATGATCCCAGTCGCCTTAGTGGTTTTTGTACAGGAAAAAGAAAAGTATTTACTCTGTGGGTGTGAGCGGGGGGGAAGTGTTTACATTTGTAGATGTTTGTTATTTATGTAACTTAAACAGAAGTGTGTTTTGATGTAAGCTGTGTGAGTTAGCGCTCAGATAGCGTTAGCTTTCCATCTGTTGGGGCAACAGAGCGGTTAGCTTGTTCGGCTAATGGTTATCTAACAACCTAGCCTAGCTGCTACGTTCAATTTAGCTAATCTGGTTTAGGGTAGCATTAGCTAACACTTCAGTATTTAGCTTATTCATTAGCATCTGGTTTAGTTGTTGAGCTAAGAGAGTTGGCCCCAGTTTAGCTAACAACAGGTTAGCTTAAGGTTTACCTAGCAGCTAATAGCCTCATGTTTACACCGTGTTACTGATAACACCTGTTCAGGTTAACTAAAGGATCAGTGGGGGGGTTATCTCTTTAAAGTACGTTTATTTTAAAGCGAGTGAGTTTAGCATATTTTGCTCTAACAGCTAAAGCTAAGCTAACAGGCCATTATGTTGCAGTTGGTTCAGTTTTCCTTCTGAAGGAACGTGAATGTATTTCTTCTGAACCAAGACCTTAGGCTAGCGGCTAGCCCATAATATATTTTAAATGATGCATCGTGAAGGCCATGTTATGGCGCATTTCCACCATGGCGCGTAGCGCGGTTTAAGCGTGCCGTGTCGTGCCGGGCCCGTTTTTGGTTGCGTTTCCACTAGGCCTAGTTCCGGCCCGGAGCTACTTTTTCACCTTTTTTCTGGCCCGACAAAATCGTGGTTCCATCGGGGCCAACAATGAGGCTGAGTCGGGCTGAGTATGCTAAACTAGAGAGAGAATCGCTGGCAAGGGGGCTACAACTACAACAAGATGAACATATTTGACCGTGATTTAATTGTAATACACGTTTCAAAATGATGCCGAAGTAACAACATACTGATACCGGTTAGTAAAAACCATGAATTAATGCTTTGACAAGTCTGCAGACAGACGGCAGGGGAAAAACCTTTTAAAATGTGCGTTGTCTAAATGGAGATCGGCTAAGCTAACGCAATATATGCTCCGACCGTCCACACTCACAACAACGGCCTATACAGACATAAATAAACCAGCGACTGTATTCACCATGACACAGGCAGTCTGTGGTTTGTACTTGTTTAACTTTTGTCTAGTTTCTGAACAGATATGAGGAGCTGTGAGCTCTGAGTGCTAACAGCTAACGGCTGATGTTGGTTTTCTGGGGTGCTCATTGAAGATGACGTCACGGCTCCGCCTACACTGCGTTACTATAGTTACTGCCCCAGTTCCTAAACTGTAATGGAAGCGCAGCATTAAAGTGAGCTGGGCCTAACAAGGCCTAACAAGGCCTAACAAAACCGTACTAAGTCGAGCGAGGCCTGCGGTGGAAATGCGCCATTAGAGCCCCGCATGGTAAAGTAGCCCGCGGTACGTTATAGCTACGATCCTCCTGTTTCTCATCAGGGTTAAAGTCTGACCCCGGACATGTGGAGACCCCAAAGTGTTCTGATAGAAGTGTAGAGTGGGGTCTGCAGCTCATAGAGACTGCTGGATGCTAACCTGCAGATGTTGGGACATTTACACAGTTAATATAAGTTGAGTTACTTAGCACTATATCTTACTGTATGTGGGCAATAGGTAGAACATGTGTTGACTGATTTGGACAGTTCTGGAGTGGTTTTGGGGGTTATTGAGGATGATGAGTCAATTTCTGACCTTATTAGGATCATAAATGGCAGTTCGGAGACACTGAAAACTTAAAAATGGAGCCAAAATTCATAAAAATCAGTCCACAGAGAGGACAGATATGTCCACTTTCTGGTTTAAACTGATATTTCTGATCCTGTAAATGTCAGAAATGGACTCAGCATCCTCAATAACCTCCAAAATTGTCCAAATCTGACAAGACATTTTTTAACTATTGTCCACATACAGTAATATTTAAGTCTAATTAACTCAACTTATATGAACTGTGTAAAATGTCCCAACATGCAGGTTAGCATCCAGCAGTCTCTCTGAGCTGCAGACCCTTCTCTACATTTCTATCAGAACACTTTGGGGTCTCCACATGTCTCTCTGAGCTGCAGACAGACTGTTAAATTGAAAGTTAATATGACATTTGGATTGTGTTTTACTTTCCGCCACTGACTGCTCTGTCTTTTTCTGCTGAATCAGGAACGCTCCTTTCTCCCGTGAACGTTCCCGTTTCCTCTCTCTCTTTCTTTAGCGCCCCGAGGCCTGGCGATGTTTCACTGCTGCTGAAACATCGAGGCTTTTGTTAGAGATGATTCCCAGAGAAACCCCTCCGCTCTGTGGGTTTGATATGGACAACGTGTTGGTTTGTTTTTGTAAATGCTGTGATTAAACCTTGGATTACTCTGACGCCCGACATTGTGTGTTCATCTGGAAGCTGCCAGAGTAAAAAATAAAAACACAAATGACTCAAAAATCACATAAATATACAAATAAAAACATCAAAAGTATTCATTTAAATAAAAAAATGTATTAAATGTGCGTTTTTATTTATTTACCTTTGTATTAATCCCCTTATTTATTTACTGTCCTATTTTATTTGACCTTTTATCTATTCAGTTATTTTATGTTGGCATTTATTTTTCTAATGTATTTTAAAACATTTTAAATGTATGTTTTTTAATTTATGTTTGTATGATTTTACCTTTCCATTTCCAGTTTACATTAAGATCTTTTTTACATGTTTCTTCAGCAAAGAGACTCAAGTCCGGCAGTGGCTCAGACAGTAGGGGCTTGGACTGTGAGCCGTAGGGTCGCCGGTTCAAGTGCTAGACTCCTAGTACTAGACTCCTGGTGCTAGACTCCTAGTACTAGACCCCTGGTACTAGAGTCCTGGTGCTAGACTCCTAGTACTAGACTCCTGGTACTAGACTCCTAGTTCTAGACTCCTGGTACTAGACTCCTGGTGCCAGACTCCTAGTACTAGACTCCTGGTGCTAGACTCCTAGTACTAGACTCCTGGTACTAGAGTCCTGGTGCTAGACTCCTAGTACTAGACTCCAGGTACTAGACTCCTGGTGCTAGACTCCCAGTGCCAGACTCCTAGTACTAGACTCTTAGTACTAGACTCCTGGTACTAGACTCCTGGTGCTAGACTCCCGGTACTAGACTCCTAGTTCTAGACTCCTGGTACTAGACTCCTGGTGCCAGACTCCCGGTAATAGACTCCTGGTGCTAGACTCCCGGTACTAGACTCCTAGTTCTAGACTCCTGGTGCCAGACTCCTGGTACTAGACTCCTGGTGCCAGACTCCTAGTACTAGACTCCCGGTACTAGACTCCTGGTACTAGACTCCTGGTGCCAGACTCCTAGTACTAGACTCCTGGTGCTAGACTCCTAGTACTAGACTCCTGGTACTAGAGTCCTGGTGCTAGACTCCCAGTGCCAGACTCCTAGTACTAGCCTCCTGGTACTAGACTCCTGGTACTAGACTCCTGGTGCTAGACTCTTAGTACTAGACTCCTGGTACTAGACTCTTAGTACTAGACTCCTGGTACTAGACTCCTGGTGCTAGACTCCCGGTACTAGACTCCTAGTTCTAGACTCCTGGTACTAGACTCCTGGTGCCAGACACCCGGTAATAGACTCCTGGTGCTAGACTCCTAGTACTAGACTCCTGGTACTAGAGTCCTGGTGCTAGACTCCTAGTACTAGACTCCAGGTACTAGACTCCTGGTGCTAGACTCCCAGTGCTAGACTCCTAGTTCTAGACTCCTGGTACTAGAGTCCTGGTGCTAGACTCCTAGTACTAGACTCCAGGTACTAGACTCCTGGTACTAGACTCCTAGTTCTAGACTCCTGGTGCTAGACTCCTAGTTCTAGACTCCTGGTACTAGACTCCTGGTGCCAGACTCCTAGTACTAGACTCCTGGTGCTAGACTCCTAGTACTAGACTCCTGGTACTAGAGTCCTGATGCTAGACTCCTAGTACTAGACTCCAGGTACTAGACTCCTGGTGCTAGACTCCCAGTGCCAGACTCCTAGTACTAGACTCTTAGTACTAGACTCCTGGTACTAGACTCCCAGTGCCAGACTCCTAGTACTAGACTCTTAGTACTAGACTCCTGGTGATAGACTCCTGGTACTAGACTCCTAGTGCTAGACTCCTAGTACTAGACTCCTGGTACTAGACTCCTGGTGCTAGACTCCCAGTGCCAGACTCCTAGTACTAGACTCTTAGTACTAGACTCCTGGTGATAGACTCCTGGTACTAGACTCCTAGTGCTAGACTCCTAGTACTAGACTCCTGGTGATAGACTCCTGGTACTAGACTCCTAGTGCTAGACTCCTAGTACTAGACTCCTGGTACTAGACTCCTGGTGCTAGACTCCTGGTGCTAGACTCCCGGTACTAGACTCCCGGTACTAGACTCCTAGTTCTAGACTCCTAGTGCTAGACTCCTAGTACTAGACTCCTAGTACTAGACTCCTGGTACTAGACTCCTGGTACTAGACTCCTAGTACTAGACTCCTAGTGCTAGACTCCTAGTACTAGACTCCTGGTACTAGACTCCTGGTGCTAGACTCCCAGTACTAGACTCCCGGTACTAGACTCCTAGTGCTAGACTCCTAGTGCTAGACTCCTAGTACTAGACTCCTGGTACTAGACTCCTGGTGCTAGACTCCTGGTGCTAGACTCCCAGTACTAGACTCCCGGTACTAGACTCCTAGTTCTAGACTCCTGGTACTAGACTCCTAGTGCTAGACTCCTAGTACTAGACTCCTGGTACTAGACTCCTGGTGCTAGACTCCTGGTGCTAGACTCCCAGTACTAGACTCCCGGTACTAGACTCCTAGTTCTAGACTCCTGGTACTAGACTCCTAGTGCTAGACTCCTAGTACTAGACTCCTGGTACTAGACTCCTGGTGCTAGACTCCTGGTGCTAGACTCCCAGTACTAGACTCCCGGTACTAGACTCCTAGTTCTAGACTCCTGGTACTAGACTCCTAGTGCTAGACTCCTAGTACTAGACTCCTGGTACTAGACTCCTGGTGCTAGACTCCTGGTGCTAGACTCCCGGTACTAGACTCCCGGTACTAGACTCCTAGTTCTAGACTCCTAGTGCTAGACTCCTAGTACTAGACTCCTAGTACTAGACTCCTGGTACTAGACTCCTGGTACTAGACTCCTAGTACTAGACTCCTAGTGCTAGACTCCTAGTACTAGACTCCTGGTACTAGACTCCTGGTGCTAGACTCCCAGTACTAGACTCCCGGTACTAGACTCCTAGTGCTAGACTCCTAGTGCTAGACTCCTAGTACTAGACTCCTGGTACTAGACTCCTGGTGCTAGACTCCTGGTGCTAGACTCCCAGTACTAGACTCCCGGTACTAGACTCCTAGTTCTAGACTCCTGGTACTAGACTCCTGGTGGTAGACTCCTGGTACTAGACTCCTAGTACTAGACTCCTAGTTCTAGACTCCTGGTACTAGACTCCTAGTACTAGACTCCTAGTGCTAGACTCCTAGTACTAGACTCCTGGTACTAGACTCCTGGTGCTAGACTCCTGGTGCTAGACTCCTGGTACTAGACTCCTAGTACTAGACTCCTAGTTCTAGACTCCTGGTACTAGACTCCTAGTACTAGACTCCTAGTGCTAGACTCCTAGTACTAGACTCCTGGTACTAGACTCCTGGTGCTAGACTCCTGGTTCTAGACTCCTGGTACTAGACTCCTAGTACTAGACTCCTAGTT